TTGTCTAGGGCTCCAGCTTTACCAACGTGTTTTGTCTTGGGCTCCAGCTTTACCAACGTGTTTTGTCTAGGGTTCCAGCTTTACCAACGTGTTTTGTCTAGGGCTCCAGCTTTACCAACGTGTTTTGTCTAGGGATCCAGCTTTACCAACGTGTTTTGTCTAGGGCTCCAGCTTTACCAACGTGTTTTGTCTAGGGCTCCTGCTTTACCAACGTGTTTTGTCTAGGGCTCCAGCTTTACCAACGTGTTTTGTCTAGGGATCCAGCTTTACCAACGTCTTTTGTCTTGGGCTCCCGCTTTACCAACGTGTTTTGTCTAGGGCTCCAGCTTTACCAACGTGTTTTGTCTAGGGCTCCTGCTTTACCAACGTGTTTTGTCTAGGGCTCCAGCTTTACCAACGTGTTTTTTCTTGGGCTCCAGCTTTACCAACGTGTTTTGTCTAGGGTTCCAGCTTTACCAACGTGTTTTGTCTAGGGCTCCAGCTTTACCAACGTGTTTTGTCTAGGGATCCAGCTTTACCAACGTGTTTTGTCTAGGGCTCCAGCTTTACCAACGTGTTTTGTCTAGGGCTCCAGCTTTACCATGCTTTGCAAGCAGTTCACATGTTTTTCTTTTGTTTGAGCGACGCTTGCGTTTAATCGACGGGATCTTCGTCGCCCCACTTTTAGTTTTATTGTGCAAGGGTGGGCCAATCGTTATATGTGTTATCATGTTATAATAGTACCACATCGTCCCAGTTTTAGTTTTATTGTGCAGGGGTGGGCCAATCGTTCTATGTGTTATCATGTTTTAATAGTACCACATCGTCCCACTTTTAGTTGTATTGTGCCGTGGTGGGCCAATCGTTCTATGTGTTATCATGTTATAATAGTACCACATCGTCCCAGTTTTAGTTTTATTGTGCAGGGGTGGGCTAATCATTCTATGTATTATCATGTGTTAATAGTACCACATCGTCCCACTTTTAGTTTTATTGTGCAGGGGTGGGCTAATCGTTCTATGAGTTAACATGTTATAACAGTACCACAACGTTTCAGACACTATCGATTATTTAAGACATTCAAATAAATTCCAACAAAATTAGTAACTTCTATGAACAATTACTAAATCAGCGGCTCTCGTCTGAAGACAGAAGGTCCACAGGAAACCATTTACGTTTTAGAACTTTATGTGCTTCCTCCTTTATGTCTTTGTCACCCATACGTCTTTTGTCCTCGTCACTCATACGTCTATTGTCCTTGTCACCCATACGTCTTTTGTCCTCGTCACCCATACGTCTTTTGTCCCTGTCACCCGTACGTCTTTTGTCCTTGTCACCCGTACGTCTTTTGTCCTTGTCACCCGTACGACTTTTGTCGTTGTCACCCATACGACTTTTGTCCTTGTCACCCATACGTCTTTTGTCCTTGTCACCCATACGTCTTTTGTCCTTGTCACCCATATGTCTTTTGTCCTTGTCACCCATACGTCTTTTGTCCTTGTAACCCATATGTCTTTTGTCCATGTCACCCATACGTCTTTTGTCCTTGTCACCCATATGTCTTTTGTCCTTGTCACCCATACGTCTCTTCATCGCATTTTTTCTTTTTTTTTTTTGGGGGGGGGGGTGGGGGTTTTGAGCCTCACCTTCTTCACGGCCGCATAAGAACGACCGCTTGGTGATGTCTCTCTTTGTTCTTTTCTTTTGTATTGTCTTGACTCCCTGGTTTGTTTCCTTCCTGTTCTCACCCTACTACTGTCCTCTCGTATTCTCCCCCTGGTGCTATGGAATCTAACTCAAGCGCTGTGATGTCATGCACCACAATATTCGGTAAGAGAAATTAACGGTTTTGGGGCCTCTGCTGACCCATTTTTAACCATTGACCTTTATTTCTGTACTGTTGGGTTGCTGGGAACCGCGTCTGGACTTTTTTTCTTCTTAAAACTGAAATCAGCACATTCGGTTTTTAACTATTTATTAGTCAGAGGCTGTATCTTGTTCTTTAATTCAAAAGTAAAGAAGTAAATGTTTAAAATTGAAGTTTGTCATATTTAAGGTGTTGTTTTGAGGATGCTTACAATCTGTGTATTATTTATGCGTGTAACAAACATTTTTCAAATTATTGTCACAGGAAGAAAAAAAGAAAGGGGGGGGGGGGTGGATAAATGTTAAGGCCTTGTATTTGACAATCGAATCCAACATCTCCAAAATACTTCCCCTCTTTCATTTCATAACCATCACTTAATCTCCTACTGCAAGTCTTAATCAAACACTTAATCTCCTACTGCAAGTCTTAATCAAACACTTAATCTCCTACTGCAAGTCTTAATCAAACACTTAATCTCCTACTGCAAGTCTTAATCAAACACTTAATCTCCTACTGCAAGTCTTAATCAAACACTTAATCTCCTACTGCAAGTCTTAATCAAACACTTAATCTCCTACTGCAAGTCTTAATCAAACACTTAATCTCCTACTGCAAGTCTTAATCAAGCGCTTTATCTCCTATTCAGTTGTAACATTCAATATTCATTTGTAAAGGTGTGTTCATGAATTTTATGTATGATTATGTCATAAATTATTTCATTGTAAACGGATGCTGTATGATTATTCAATTATTTATTTCACTGTAAACCCGTACTACTAAATTGCCTGTATGATTATAAAAATAATTATTTCATTGCAAACGTGTGCTATCAGTAGTTTGATTATCTAAATTCTAATATTATTAAAACATTATTTTCATTTTAAAAAATCCTTAATATCGTCTAATGCTACTTCTTGTATCAATTAGGTCGATGTCTGTGGACAAATTTGTCATCCACTTGTGTCTTTGTGGCAACTTACTTGTTTCCGACATCATTTTTGTATTTGGCATAGGGGCCACAAACAATGAGGTGAATTTATTTGGAAATTGATTGAAAAAAGACCTAAATATCGTTTTTGAATTAATGTGATAATATTTTATCTTGGAACGCTTCAGGTACATTGGAAATAGAGAAGTAATGTTTGAAGTAATGTTGCAGTATGTTTGTCTTAAACACTTAAAATAAATAAATGGGCCTTAGCTATGCATGCCTATTCATGGGTCATTTTGAATATATGATTGAGAGGGGTTATACTGGCCATATTTCTAAATTTTATAGGAGATACATAGATGACGGAATAGGTATCACCAGCATGGAAATTAATGATCTCCAGAAATATATAGATTTTTTAAACTCATTTCACCCATCCATAAAATTTACTTCTTAAATCTCTGAACATTCTATCAACTTCCTTGATATCACCGTAACTTTGAAAGAAAACGAATTGATTACATCTGCCTACTACAAACCAACTGACAGCCATAGTTACCTATTGTACTCATCCTCCAACCCCAAGTTATGCAAAGACTCTATACCTTTCTCGCAGCTTCTTAGATTAAGGCGTCTCTTCTAAAATTATGAGGACTTTCTAGAATGAGCTGATGAATTGATGAGTTACTTCCACTCCAGATCCTATTCTGAAACTACTATTATCTCAGCACTAAGTCGCATCAGCTCTATCAATCGAAAAGAGGCTTTCAAAACTCGTCAAAACAACAATACATATCGTACCAAACTTATACTAACCTACCACCTCATAATTTAACTGCCAAAAAAAATATTCCTAAAAGATCGTAGCAAACTTCTTGATGATCCTGATACTAACAAGGTTTTCTTATCCCTCCACTGATTGTCTTTAGACGGGACAGAAATCTTGGTGACCTTCTGGTTCATAGTCGCCTTCGATCTAAACCGTCTTACTTTGGTACTAAACCATGCTTAAGAAGCCGCTTTAGGACTTGTCCCTTTACACTTCAAACTGAAAGCATTAGCCTCCCTAAAGTTATCTTTACCATTAAATGGGGCGACAGCCGTAATGTAATATATGCGATTGTGTCCCGCAGATGCCAATCTAGTTACATAGGTGAAACTGATTGAAGATTAATCGGCTGATAGGTTTACTGAACATCTTCGGGAAATCGAACAATGCAAACTTTCCCCAGTCTCTTCTCATTTCAACAGAAAAGAACATAAAGGTGCATCGGATGTAACGATTACGACATTGATTTCATGCTATAACACATCAGAGAGGATTAAAATGAAAAATACATTTATTCAGCTGTTTGGAACCATGTATCCATGTGGTATCAATCAGATGCTATCCTACTAATGTTTCTCAGTTTCTCTATATTTCTACTATTTTCTTATTGCTGTGTGTTTATGTATCCCTGGATATTCTGGTCCATTATTATAGTGGACCTTATTTTTTACAGCGTCAATATTTATATTCTATCGCTTCCGGTGTTCACACTTCCGGCGACAACAATGGCTATTTCGTGAGTTGATTACTGTGCTCTGTTCTTTGTGCTTTTTCATTTGTACTGTTTGCTGAAGAAGGCTTTATGCCGAACCAAAATGTCCTCATCTTTTTGTCTTGTTCTTCTCTTATTCAAGCTTCCACATACCTTGTTTTGCTATTTCATTCATTTACTAAGCTTGAATGCAGTCGTTTAATTATTATATTGAAGTACTAATAAGAATAAGACTAATAGTAATACTAATAGTAATAGTTATCCAGTTATGTAACTGTTTGTCAGCTTGAAACACTGCAGTAACATTGTGAATAGAGAAAAAGTGTTTGAAATAATGTAACAGTACTGCAGTCACATTGTGATTGTGAATAGAGAAATAGTGTTTTAAAAATAATGTTCTGGGAACAGTATGTCAGCTTGAAACACTGCAGTCACATTGGGAATAAAGAAGTAGTGTTCTCCGTGACACTGGGAATATTGACGTTATGTTTGCATTGACATGGGAATAGAGTAAAAATAATATTATATAATGTAATTAAATACGAAATAGAAAAGAATAAAATATGAACATTATATAAACTAAGTTACATATATTATTGTGTTTCGCTGGAAATTTATAATTTCTACAACAGTGTTTTTTTGAAAAGTTTTAAAATTATATTAAATTTTATCTTTCTGACAGGTGCTGTGCAAAGCCGTGGCCGCACTATTGCAATATTTTTTACTTGCTGCACAATTCAGCATGATGGCTGAAGGAATACAACTCATAAAGATAACCAGCTTCCCATTTAGAACCAACAGTATTTTAAAATACTTACCACGTGTCATTTTTTGTAAGTAAAGTGACGTGTAATAATAGGGCATGTACCAATAATTTGTAAGTAGATTATCAATTATTAGTCTATCAGAACATGTGCCGAAATTTTGTAAATAGTTTTATATATTAGAACATGAAATGGCTTGTAAGGAGAGTATCAATTATTATAACATATACCAATTTTTAGTAAGTAGAATAGTATAATCAAGAATCAGATCATGTGCCAATTTAAGGTAAGTAGAGTATTATATTTTTGGACATACCAAATGTTGGTAAGTGCAGTATAAATTAATGGAACATGTATAACTTCCTTGAAAGTAGAGTATCATAAATTTGTTGCGTACAATTCTGGATTTCAAAATTTGATATATATTTTTTAAAGTTTCTATTCGTTTCATGAACAATACGTAACGAAGGAATAAGAGAATAATATATGCAAAGAAAACGTTACCGATGCTAGTGATACTAACATTACTCAATTTAAATATGCAATGAAAATAGAACTTTAAATACAGAAACCAAAAAGTGTAACAACATAGCAAGTGAAATGGTACCAGCTAAAGATACAAATAGTAATTTGACACAAAGAGTACAATATTGAAATTATAAAATGTCTCATATATGTTAAGAATGAAAAAACAAATCTCTCGCCCTCTGCTAGGAAAAATGCCGGCCCTATATGAGAACCATTTTCTAAAGAAATTCTAGATATTGCGTCATCTTACAACAGCCTTTGGATCAAACATAAAACATTCGAACTTAAACAACCTTTTCTCATTTAAGTGTGGGGTGGGTAATGAATGACACACCACAGTCACATGTTGATGTCATTGTCAAAAAAGTAAGTTGATGTGGCTAAAAATGAGCCCACACATGCCACAACATAATAGAACATATACCAATTGTTGTAAAGAGAATGTCATATAAGAGAACATGTACTATTGGTTGGTGAGTAGTGAATCCTGAATAAGGAGATCTACTTATGGTTTGTAAGTAGATGTATAGAGACATGTACTTATGTTTGGTAAGTAGAGAGCAATGTATTAGGACATGTACGTATGGCTGGTATGTAGAGATTAATATATTAGGACATGTGACAATGGTTGGTACGTAGTGAATCTTTAATAAGGAAATTTACTTACGGTTGATAAGTAGAGATCAATGTATTAGGGCATGTGCAAATGGTTGGTAAGTAGAGATTCAAGTTATAGAATATGTACCAATGGTTGGTACGTAGAGTACCAAGTAATAGATCAAGCGGCAATGGTTGTAAAAGACAATGTGGTGACACGTCTTGATGATGTAACATAAGTTAACACATTTGAAATATGTGTATACAATAGTTTTATCGTTAATGTAATTATTCGAACAAGTTTGTTTTTATCCTACCCTACACAACACTATTATGAACATATGCAACACATTTTGTCCACAAAAAGACTGTAAAAATGTTAATATAATTATTCGAACAAGTTTGTTTTTATCCTATCCTGCACAGCACTATTATGAACATAACCAACACATTTTTTTCCGCAAAAAGACTGTAAAAAAGCTCAGTGCGAATGCAACCTCATATCATACACTACACTACACTGCACTAAACTGCATTACACTGCACTAAACTTCTCTACTCTACACTATGGATGCTATAGAAACTCCAGTTAATATTTAAGCACATTGTTACCAAATGTGGTCCGATATAACATTTTTATTATATTTGAATGATTCTTACTATGCGTAAATAACTATGATTTAATTTCCCCATTTAAGGCACGCCGCTGCTGATAGTCATTATAACTTTGAGCGTGGACAGTGATGGCTTTGGGACCTCAGACTAGTGAGTAGTTTCTGTGTTGCGATATGATACCTTGTTTGTAATATATGTCTTAGTTCTTTAAGAATGTCTTATGACTCATAGTATTTATATTTAAATCAACGAGGTTTCTTCCAAGACATTTCTGTACGACACCCCCACCACCTTCCTCTTCCCCAACACTAAAGAATTCTGTATTTACTCCACCACATGACCCCCAGCCATAACGAGTTGTTTTCCAAAGTCTCCCCATCACTAAAGAATTCTGCATTTACCCCCTGCCTCACCCCAGCCATAACGAGTTGTTTGCTGAAGTCTCCCCATCACTAAAGAATTCTGTATTTACCCCACGACCTGACCCCGCCATAACGAGTTGTTTTTTGAAGTCTCCCCATCACTAAAAAATTCTGTATTTACCCCACCACCTGACCCCAGCCATAATGAGTTGTTTGCTGAAGTCTCCCCATCACTAAAGAATTCTGTATTTACCCCACGACCTGACCCCGCCATAACGAGTTGTTTTTTGAAGTCTCCCCATCACTAAAAAATTCTGTATTTACCCCACCACCTGACCCCAGCCATAATGAGTTGTTTGCTGAAGTCTCCCCATCACTAAAGAATTCTGTATTTACCCCACGACCTGACCCCGCCATAACGAGTTGTTTTTTGAAGTCTCCCCATCACTAAAAAATTCTGTATTTACCCCACCCACCTGACCCCAGCCATAACAAATTTTTTGCTGATGTCTAACCATCAATAAAGAATTCTGTATTTACCCCACCACCTGACCCCAGCCATAATGAATTGTTTGCTGAAGTCTCCCCATCACTAAAGAATTCTGTATTTACCCCACCACCTTACCCAAAGCCAAAATGAATTGTTTGGTGAGGTCTCCCCTTCACTACAGATTTATTTATTCAACCCACCACCTGACCCCCAGCCCAAATGAATTGTTTGCTGAGGTCTTGCCGTCACTACAGATTTATTTATTTACCCCACCACCTGACCCCAGCCCAAATGAATGGTTTGCTGAGGTCTCCCCGTCACTACAGATTTCTCTATTTACCCCGCCACCTGACCCCAGCCCAAATGAATTGTTAGCTGAAGTCTCCCATCACTAAAGAATTCTGCCTTTATCCCACAACCTGACCCCAGCCCTAATGAAATGTTTGCTGAAGTCTCCCCGTCCCTTCAGAATTCTGTATTTGTAACCGTCTGATATTTTAAAGATGTCAATTTATTACCATGGATAGTGGTTATCTTATAAAGTTGTCAATTTATTACTATAGATAGTGATCATTTGTTACAATGTAATGTAATATTTTTGTTATTTGTCATGTTATATAAATTCAACTTTAAAACTGTAGATAGAAGTCATCTAATAAGTTGTCAATGTAATACAACTGTCATCTTATAAGCTGTTAATTTAATACCTCATACTGTGGTCATCTCAGAAGTTGCTGGTGTAATACATGATACATTGGTAATCTGATAAGTTGATATGTAATACCTAATACAGTGGTCCCTCTTTAAGTTGCCATTGTTATACCATTGAGAGACATCATTTTTTATATTGATGTCAATTTAGTAGTTACCATCCTAACATGTGTTGTATAGATTTTTCAATGGTAAACATATTTTCCCTCATACATTTCAGTTGTTGGCTGAACATTGAAAACGGCCTGATATGGGCATTCATTGGGCCAGTGATAGGTGTCTTAGTGGTAAGTTCTTTCAATTTTGTTCAGTCTTATTATTTTAAAACACATATTTGAAAGCCGCTTATTGTAAACATGTAAAGAGCAAAGTTAAGTCAAAGTTTAAGTAACATGTTCAAATAGTTTCTTGTTTTTAATACCATTCAAGACGATGTGAGCAATTGTATTTTCTTTTTTGTAAATATGCTTGTCTATCAATAACATTTTTTAAAAATCTATAGCTCTAAATACTAGTTGCGTGACAATTTACATCAAATTAATCTACAATTAATTTTAGTGTTTTTACCGTTTCAAGGTGTAAAGAATGGTAGATATTGTTTAAAATAAGGCTCATTGACAAACAGTACATAACAAAGGGACAAAAGCATTGATTAAATATAGTAACAAACGAACCATACCCAAACAAGTGCTAATTACAAATAAAAATCTATTTAAGTTAACTTTAAAATAAAAAAATAAAAAAAACTTTTTAAAAAGTAAAATAAGCCGTATTAACATACACTACAGCAAGAAAATGTTCTGGTACAATGTTGGTTTAGTGCACATACAATCACACATACATGTGCTTGCACACACTACACACACACAATAAATATAAAATACAAATTTAAGATCTATTCAGAACAGTATGTCAATCTATTGGTCTCGCTCCCTCTCTCGTATATTAATCTTCTCTTCTTCTAAAAATCTGTCTCATTCTATTTGACTTTTTTTCTTGGCTTATTTTATAGTCCCAATTAGAGTATATTTTGGAAAGCTCTAAGACGAGTGCTCTCCATCCCTCCCTAGATAGTTAAAAAAGCTCGGAGAGATGGCTGAAAGAATCCCTACTCTCTATCCGTCCATTGTGCCTTCTAGTCATTAGTTTATAAATCGGAGAGATGGCTGAAAGAAACCCTACTTTTTATATGTTCCTCATGCCTTCTAGTCATTACTTTATAAATCGGAGAGATGGCTGAAAGAATCCCTACTCTATCTGTCCATCATGCTTTCGAGTCAGTTTTGTATCAATCTGAAAGATGGCTGAATGAAACTCAAATCTCTGTCCGTCCATTGTGCATTCTTGTCAGTTCTGTATAAATCAGAGAGATGGCTGAAAGAAACGTTACTCTCTATCTGTCCATCGTACCGTCTAGACAGTTCTGTATACATCGGAGAGATG